ATATTGGTGGGAGTCACAACCATCTACAGGGTACATGAGTCGTTCTCTGATACCAATGATAGGTAACGACCTATCAACAGTAATTCAGAGAGCTTGGGATGTAGAAAATAGAAAAGCGACGCAATGGAGGTAGTCGTATAACAGAAAAGAGAGAGAAAAGTTCACTGGCAGTTAAAGAGTGCCAACTCTCCAAGTCCCAAGCCAATAGGAGAATTCCAGCCTACCCCTTATTACATAACAGCCTGTATTTATAATAATTCTCCCGGGGGACCATACACACCTTATCAAAATACGTAGCATTATTGTTACTATAATAAGTTGTATGAGTAGCAGTTACAAGGTTGCTTTGGCAAACATCCAGATGCGTAGTTATATGTGTTGAAACTACATCTGTCTGGCTGTGTGTATAACAAACAAAAACAAATGTAGAGTGCTAGACCCCCCTTTCTTAATTTCTTATACTTATTTCTGGGTATATTTGATAATAAAAGTAATTGCTCATTTTAATGCAAATCTCTAAACCATGCCTGCATTACTGCTATGGTGTTTACATGTTTGGCAACTCAAAAAACTTAACAAGCGCCGTTCAGGTGTGAATGAGAGAAGAGTTTTTTGTCCTTCCTTTTTCTCATTGTGGAGCTTAATTATGGAAGTGAGATAATTATTTATGTCATTGTGATAGTCTTCTATACCCGTTTCCATGATTTTTTATTGTTTGTGGCAGTTTTCCCCTGATTGCTATTCTTAAACATCCTTTCTTTCGGTCACGCCTGCTATTATGTGCCCAGTGTGCTTTTTTTCCCACTCCACACCTGGAGAAACAATTATAATACTGATTCTGAAGCATTATACCGAACTTAATTGACAGATAAATGAAGTGGAGTCAACACGGTTGAGTCAACAGAGAAAGATAGAAGAACTAGAAGCACAACTACATGAGGCTGAGGATATTGTAAGTGATCTTAGAGGAGAGTTGAGAGAAGCGCACGCTGCACTGGAGAGAGTGAAAATCAACCAACAAAATGCTCATAGAGAACCCAAGGAGAACATGGTATTCTGTGCATCAGAACTTCAAAATGGACATGTGGCAGTTCCTGACATCGTCAAGAACATGAACCTTATCCAGATAAATGAGGGCTACAAGTCTTGTAGCAGGACAGTTAATCACACGGGAAACACTTATTTCTCACACCCTGACCTGCCCTCTATAATACTTAGAAGCAAGGAACCGGAGCTGTATAGGAATGGATGCACACAAAGAATCCGTGCTTGTGAAGGAAACACATTAGCCAAGGAATTCTCACTCTCAGGGGAAAAGACGCGAAGAAATGATGAGAATAAAGAAGTCTGTGCAATACCTGCTGAGAAGGAAGCAGTGATGGAAGAAGACAGATTGGTGATCTTCAGTTCATTTAATAAGAAGAGGAAGAGAGCAAAAAGATATGGAAAAGGCAGAGCTTTAGATGGAAACCTTCCCCTGACTCCTCCTCCTTCTCTGGTGAAGACGGATGATGAAGGACAACCTAATAATAACAACCCTGATTGTGATGAGAAAAAAGAAGAGAGCATGGTTCTCTCAAAATCTTCGTACAGGAAAAGAAAAATGGCAAAAAGAAATAGAAAATATGGAGCTGATTTGAATAGAAACCTTCCTGATCATTCTTCTGAGATGACTCCATTATCATCATCTCCAGAAAGAGATGACTCAAAACCTGAACTTGTTGAGTCTCATGGGGTTGAGAAACAAGTTTCAGATTATAAAGGATTGGCAGAAGTGGTGGGACCTGCATTGCAAGAAACTGGATCGACAGGGAGTTCAGGAATCACAGTTCATGATAAATCAGGTTTAAAGGTGTGTGATGCTGCTAAGGATGAAAATAGGACCTTCAAATATACGTTCCAGAGAAAGCGGAAGCGTGTACCACCCTCTTCCAGAGAAGTTGATGATTTTACACATAATGTTTCTGCACAGAACTGTACTGTGGTGAAGAATGAAGAGGAGAAACAACAAAGTGTTGTTTTGGTGGATCAGCGGCCAAAGTTGTCAGCAGAATCATCTCGAGATAGTAGGAGAATGGCACAGGTTGCCCGTCAGGTTAGTCATAATTGGGGCTGTTTGTTTAATAAAACTAAGATTGGTCATGCAAGTTTATCCTTTTAAGGCGCATTTCCATTATTTTTTGCTTAAAAGTATAAAAACAGTTCTTTAAGGAAGTGCTTCTACTTAAGTACTTTGAAGCTGAAAGCAAAGTGAAGAGTTCTTACAATTGCTTTTCAGTGTATTTAATTTTTGTAATATTTCACCCAAAATCCCAAATAATACATCAAACGTTACTTTTTCTCCAAAGCCTTCAACTTCTACTTTTTAAAATCACTTCATTTTCGAACACCGCAAATTTTACCCATAAAGTAATCACTGAAATGAACCACTCCTCGAAGCACAAACAAATGCAACACTGCCTTAGAATTTCAGTGTGGTGGTCGGTAAACTTTGGATTTATGTGAGTACTAACTTGCTTCTTTATAATTATTTTGTTATACTAGTGCTGTTGTTGTTGCTAGTGGTGCAGTTGTTGTTCATCCTTACCAAAAACTTAAACACAAGTCTTTGTTCAATTCTTCAGATTTTAACAAGTTTGATACTTTAGTTGATTGCTTTAACAAAATAGCAAAATATTGTTAATGCAAGTATAGCCAAGATTACTCTAATAAATGGGGCATTGGTTTCAAATTTGTGAATTCTTCTCAGAGGATGGTTGAAACTTTAATATCTTACTGAGATTTTATTACATATAGCTTTCTTGGCAAACATTGTAAACCAAATATTATTCATCTTTCTTCTAATAGTATGTGTCTCTTCCTTGTTTACATCCGCCAGCTCATATCATTGTCAGAGAAGAAATGGTGGCATTGAATATAAAATCTACCACAGGAAGGAAAGCATACCCTCCGTGAACTTGTATGATCCAGGATGGTTGGTTAGTTCCTGGTGAGCATTGAAAAGCTGTGATGGAATATATCATCACATATATATGACAGTAGTAGTTACCTAAGGAACTAGAGATGTTAATTGAATGACATCAAATATTGATGTCAAGTTCCATACGTTGTTGTTGTGACTGAGACTTGACATTCTGTGGAAGTATATAAACTTCTTCCACCATTTACGTTAATCAAATGTATGAGTACATGTTTCTAGAAATTCATTTCAAGCATCTAGTGGATTTATCCCTTCTCGTGCTTCAGAACCACATATAATTTCAGTTATAATTTCGATTCAATATGGAATGCTCGAATCCATAATCTAAATTCTGAACTGGGTTTAGTGCCTTCAGGCTACAGCTATCATGGGTATACCCTGTTCCGGAACCAGAATATGATTGGGATGGGTGCTCTCGACAGTAAAGTATACTGGTTTCTGGTTCCTCCAAAATAGGTCAGGCCTAGGCTGGTTATGGTTTCTAAAATCAAGCTAAAACTGAACCATGGACCAGAATATAATTTCGATTCAATATGGAATGCTCGAATCCATAATCTAAATTCTGAACTGGGTTTAGTGCCTTCAGGCTACAGCTATCATGGGTATACCCTGTTCCGGAACCAGAATATGATTGGGATGGGTGCTCTCGACAGTAAAGTATACTGGTTTCTGGTTCCTCCAAAATAGGTCAGGCCTAGGCTGGTTATGGTTTCTAAAATCAAGCTAAAACTGAACCATGGACCAGAACTGCTCTGGTCATACCTGGTTCCGAGTAACCTCTTGAAATGACATAGAACTGGAATATAGGCCTATCAATGGGTCGGGTGCGGGTCGGAACATAGTGTTTCAGACCCGGACCCGTTAAGTTTAATGGACTCAGACCCGGCCCGTTTACCCGGCGGGTCTGAAAATTTGGACCCAGACCCAATGGGTCTCGGAACTGGGTCAGGTAGACCCGCCAAGTATGATATGCACAACATTGTAAACTTTGTGAAAAATAACATGGCTTGCAAATGAAATGTAAAGCAAAGTGCGCAAACTTAAAAAGCAAAATATATCTTCATTTGAAAAAACAAGATTTCTCATAGAAATTTAGTACTTTTGTCCAACAAAGTATCAATTCTCTTGCACGGAAAGCTCGTAGAATAGACTATATTGCAAGTATAAAAGCATTATACTTCCTCCGTTCTTTTTTAATTGCAACAGTCAACATTTCACGTTTGCCAACGCACAAGTTTGACCATTAATATCTTTCATTCCGTATTAGTAAAAAAAAATTAAAAATTCATATTTTGAAAATTTAGAATGAGAAGAATTTAACAATATTTTTTAAAAATTTAATTTATAATACATCAAATAATAAAATGTAGTCAAAGTAGAATATGTGAATAGTGTAAAAAGTCCAACGTTGCAACTAAAAGAGAACGGAGGTAGTATATGATAATGATATACTAATATTAATATTACTACTATTAGATATTTGGATTTGTCTATCGGTCCCAATACACACTTTACTAGTACGTATAAACGGTGAATATGGTTATTAGTTTTAGGGTATCTCACTATCTCAATCAGTATCACTTATACAATATGTATTGGTGTGTATATTTTGAATTGAAGAATTGCAACTAATAACTCTATGTGTTATTATGTGTGTCGTGTGTGTGTATTAATTTGTATTTTTTTATTTGAACTTTGAAGTAATACAACTCATCATTTTATGTATTGGTGTGTGGGCTTACCTACTTATAAGAAATTTTAAATGGGTTCGGGTCCTTAACGGGTCGGAATCATATATACCATACCCGACCCGTTATTTAAAAATACTAACGGGTCCGGATCCGGGTCCGGGTAAACGGAATAAAATATAGACTCATACCCGTTAAAAACAACCGGGTCCGGGTCGGGTTCGGGTCTAGACCCGACCCACCCGACCCATTGACAGGCCTACTGGAATTGGCCCATCCCCCAATGTTGGGGTAAGGGAAAACTAGCAGGAATTTATAGGAATTTGCTGAAGAGAGCTTCTAATGCATCAAACCAAATGCAAGAGTTGCAGAGAATTGGAAGAAGAAATTATTTGTTCAAATTACCAGACAATGGTATGATGTTCTAGAACAAGAGAATGTGTGTCATGGGGTAATTAAATATGTATAGTTCAACTCAAAAACATACATTCCAAGTAAGGATGAGTAGTAGTAACATTACTAATGATATTTTATACATGTACTCTCTCTCATACACATGACATTGTGCATGTTCTTTGAGAAGCCACTTGTGGAAAGAAACTCATTCATGAGCCAATGGATTTAAAATAAACCCATGGTTGCCTTGGAATTGGAACCTCCTGCTACTCTCTACCCTCAACCCTTCACGAACTCCAACTGTACTCTGTGCAGTGACCTGAGAGGGTAAACTCCTCTTCCAAAGTCTTGAACTAAAAAACTCTGCAGTGGGTAGTTTGCAACATGTGAATAAAGTCTTTCTATTTGATGACAATTGTTGTCGATTTGAAACAGCCAAGTCCTGTGAGATCCCATCTAATGCCAACTCTAGGCCACGAACCCGTGTCTCCAAGGAATGCATCCCACTCTGTGTATTCCCAATGAATTTCTGGATGAACAATGAAATGGTTATTGGGTTTTTCTCTTAATTTCCAGAAAATAACACTTCAAAGCAAACATAGTTAGATTTTTCAGCGTAAACTGGTATATCATGCTTCTCCAAGAGAACAACCGTGAGTTTCACCCCAATATGAAGCGCGGTGTAACTTCATACAATTCAAAGTACGGTTACCTACATATGTACAAGAGTGTCACTTGGCACTCTACGGAAAATTTTATCATGAATAATCGATCACACCATGATTCTGCAAATACTCAGCACAACCCTCATTTTTCTTGGCTAATTTAAGCTTAACTGACACATTTATCCCTCTATTTTTGCACTTTCACAAATTTATGAATATTATCATTACCCTTTTAGCTACATACGCAACACTTTTAATTCAACCAACTGAGTGATTCAACCATTATGGCTGGCCGTTGCAACAACCACCAAACAGGCTATTAATTGCAAGCCTAGGGCTATGTTCGGGACACAAAAAATGGCAGGAAACAGGAGAAATGGAGTGAAAATATTTTAATATATATAAGTGCCATGTGTCCTTAAAAGTATCTAAAATTGATTTGATTTAGAGTTTGAAACAATTTTGTTTCCCCTGAATTTTCTTTCCTTCTAATTTTCCTTTGCATTTCCATTCCTATTTCATTTCCCTTGCATTTGACAGATTCCAGAGGGACCCCAAAGCGTTCTTGACAGGAATAATCAGGCATGCTGTTGTACTAAATAGTACTAGACTAGACCATTAGACCTACACGGTGTGATAGTGGAAATGAGAACATTGTCAAGCACAAGGCCACAAGCAAGTTACCTGGACAATGTCTAACAACTTGGTCTGCTGCTTTTCAATTTGAACTAGTTGAATCTGAATTTGAGACAGTTCTTCACATTCTTTCAAGTTCGTGCGAAGGTCCCCAGTTTCACTACTCAAGACAATGGTGCCTTGCTCAGATCTCTCTTCATCGTATGGGACAACACGAGACCCGGCACTTTTCTGTTGTATAAATAGGGCTCTTCTGGTTTCTGAATTTGTACATTTCTCATCCTTATATTTCAAATTATCCCATGGTGGAGTGCCTTGAGATGCAGAAACTTCAGTCTTTACTTCATAAGGCTTTTTGCGGTCAAGCTTACCAAATAGTACTGCAGAAGCGGATTTCTTTTGGGTACCCTCTACAAGACTCCTCCTACTAACTTTAGTAGTAGGTGAACGGTCAGGAAAATGGGACTTGTTGATTGGTGTGGTGTATTTTTTACTATGATTTGAAGCACCCGAGCTCATTCTGTACGAAATCTTGGAGCGAGGCGGATAGTACGCATCTCTAGTTTTTTCTGAGTCAATGGCAGACATGAAAGAAATTTAATGTTAGGATAACTTTTATGGTCAAAATTTGCAGAATGTAAATTATATACTTTGTTCAGAAAGAAGTAAGAAGAGTAGTGGGGAACCACACAGAATTAAGAAACGTTACTCACAGTCTAACAAGAGTGATAAAACTTGACTCTAGAATACAGTTTATAAAGAAAAGTTGCAGAACCTACATGTTATGATAATACTCCGTAATAATTAGAGAATACACTAAGCAAAGTGATTTGGGAACCAGCCACATGGACAGAAGAGATGAAAATGTACCAAATGAAATGTCGCAATAATAAACCCAGAATGAAACAAATTAGATTAAAAAAATATCTAGTCAAGGATTAAAGGTTGGAAGATCTATTACTAGTTCAATAAGGAAAGAAGTGTTCATATGGATACGCAGAATCCTATTTTTGCAGAATCCTATTTCATACTCGGTACCAAGTTTATTACTTTAAACAGAATTTAAGAAAGAAGTATTCTGAAAAAGAGAATGCGAATAGGATACCTTTGGATGAAGGAGAAGATTCGGTTTGAGGTGAAATATCATCAGAGGAGTCGGGAATCTCCTTCCACGCCTCCAACATCTGATCTATTGACTCCCTCACTGCTTTCACCTACATCATCAATCAGAAAAATCATTAACTCGATCAAATCATGACAAAGTCAGTCTTCAATAACAAGTCTATTCGGATCAAATCCAGCAAAATTTTAACTTTATTAGCCAAAATATATACGGAGTATATTTAATCCGGTAAAATCTAAAATATAACGATTGAGTCCAGTGATACCTTATCGAATCTTCTACCCTCGAAATCCCTCAAGTAAGATGCCTTGAACTCCTTCAACATTTCTTTCTCCATTGTGGCGAGCCTCAACAAAGCCTCGAAAGCTGCCTTCCTCACCGCCCAATCATCGCTCTTGACGAAACCTACCAAACACGGCACTAAATTTGTGACCAACAACTGGCTAGAAGCGCCTCCATTGCCAACTACACTACCGATCAGGGTGAGTAGCGCCGCCTTAGCCTTGAAGCTGTCGCATTTGAGGAGCTTCTCGAATCGCGGCATCAGCTTCCTTAGGCATGCAGCATCTGGATCAGGCGCTGCATCAATCACAGCCGACAAGCATAGCGCGGCACCGATCTGGGAGTTCATTTCCTGCTCCGTGAATAACGCATTTAGGAGCGGTTTGATGATAGAGGGGAACGGGGGCTTGGTGATGTGCGAGGAGATGGATCCACAAGCGGCGATGCAAGCAGAACGGACAGAGGTGTTTGGATCGCGTAGGCGGCGGACGACGGCGGAGAGGAGTTTCGACAGATGAGGGGAGAGACAGTCACCATGTTCCTCTGAGAGCAGAGAGATGAGGCGGAGGCATTGCTTGCGGACCGGAGACTTGTCGGAGGAATCAGTGGCGGAGATTGATGAAAGGAAAAGAGGAATCGTCTCCGGCGAAAGAGATTTAACAACCGACTCAAGCTCGGAGGCCGCGGCGGAATGCGTATCCCGGTCGGAGAGTTTGTGGATGCATGTGAGCACGTGGTGCTTCAGGTCACGTGCTTGAATCTGTTTCTGCTTATTTGTCGCCGCCATTACTCACAGTCGGAAAGGGGATTGTGGAATCGCAGAGGAGTATTCACAAGTGGGTGGTGGCGCCGCCGTAATCTGCCGCAGCATAGCGGTGGCTGCTTGGCGGTTTCCTTTTTTGCTTTCAGAGTGAGTTTGGTACCCCTCTCTCTCTCTTCTCTCTTTCTAGGAGTGAGGTGCCGCTAATCTAGTTTATTTAGGCCTTCATGAACTGTCTCAAACATTTCTTGTATACGGCGTCGTATTCCCCTCGGCGCCCTATTTATAACAAATTGCAACTCAATTTCAGGGGAAGACAATCTTCTTCCTTCACAAATTTATTTGGAGATCAAAATGATAATGGTACATTTTATCTAGTCTAGGTATTATATACTCCATATGATTCAAGAGAAATACGAAGTATATATTATCATAAAGATGATTCAATTAAGAGATCGGTATCAGTATTTTAATCCTAACTTATTTGTAATGGATGTTTTAAAATGTTGGATGCAAACTCATAAATATCGAGTCATATGAGTGTGATAGTTGAGAAAATTATGCGTTACTTGTTTTTTTGAGATTATTTTAAAAAGGGAAAACAGTCAATTAAGTCCACCTACTATGGGCGGAAAGTCAATTGAGTCCATGTACAATTTTTTCGGTCAATTGGGTTCACATATTTCAAAATAACGGTCAAATACGTTATTTAGGCAGTCGCCAGCCGGTTAGCCAGTTACCGGGTGACATGGCTTCTAACGTGGCATACTTAACCGGGAAAAATCAATTTTTAAAAAAAAAAATTTTAAACCTCTGTCCTCGTCATCAGCCATAACCTAACATACGTTTTAACAGATAATGAAAACCAGTCTTCATTATCTTTTCTTCTTTTTTGCAAACGGGGAAGTAGCGCCGCGAGGTGTTCTTGAATCGCAAGTGTAACCCAGAGGTCTTCGTGTTTCTTGAATTCGAACGCGAAATCAGGTTAGTTACTAGGGTTGTAGTTTACGAGGAGATTACTTCGATTGTATGCTATTATGGCCACAAGTTTTTCCCTATGTGTCAAGCTTCCTCCTTTTTTTATTTGTTGATTTATGACACTGGTTTTGAGTAGTATAATGGTTGTTATGAATGATTGTGTACATGTATATGTTTAGTAATGACCGAAATGGTGCCTTATTTTGCTTTTTGATTTGCATTGTGTTGTAATATTTACAGAATGTTTGACAAAGTGGACCTAATTATTCACCATGGCGGCAACTTCGTTAGTTTGCCTGAAACTATGTACGTAGGGGGAGAAGTGGACTGTATCCCAATTGATCCGGACCTGATTTGTTATCCTCATTTAATGAAAGCCTTACAGTCTGGGAACTATGGTAATATTAAAGGACTGTTTTATAAAAAACCTAGTGATGCTATGGATGACCTGCTTCCCTTGTTCAATGATGCATCCACACTTCAGCTGATACATATGGCTAGTACTTGTGGGCAGTGTGAGATATATGTAGAGCATGGTTTGGATGAGTGTGAACTCATTCTGCCTTTACCTGGACCAAATAATGAAGGGCTTATTGAAGAAGTTGAAGTACAACAAGCAGGTTTGACACCAGAAGAAGAATTACAGACCAATGTTGAACAAACTGAGGTACAAATGCATACTGATAAGGCTTATGAACTGCATCCTGAGGCTGAAGATTGCACATCAGAGGAAGAAAGGCAGGCCACTATGGAAGAAATATATGAAGATGGGTTGTCATCTGAGGAAGATATAGAAGTGGAGGAGAGGCACAATGATGTGCAAGCTGGGTCACACTCAAGGGATAAGGGCATTGACGGAGATGAACCAGAAGAAGATGAACCAGAAATTGAAGAGGCTGAAGCAGACAATGAAGAAAATGAACCACAAATTGAAGAAAATAATCCAGATTTGGAAGAGCTTAGAGGTGGAAAAGATAATGATGACACTGATGAGGATGCAGACAGTGTCGAATATGATTCTTCTAACCCAAGAAGCTACACATCTGACCAAGAAATAGATGATAATCAGCCTAAACCTGCACACAAGGGGCTTGTTTCCTATAATCCTGAGTCAGAACCTCCCCTCATTGCGGTGGAAATGCTTTTTGAAGATGCAAGGCAATTCAAGAACGCTATGGTCAGGTATGCTGTCTTTGAGAAAAGAGATATCCGCTTTGTGAAAAACACACAAACAAGAGTTAGGATAAAATGTGTTCCTCCATGCCCTTATAATATTACTGCTAGTTGGGAACCTAGGCTGAAGTGCTTCTAAGTTAAGGTTCTTGAAGGTGAACATTTATGCAATTTGAGGTTCAAGCTAAAGATAGTTAGTGAGAAATGGATTGCAGAGTCATATGAAGAGAAGGTAATTGAAAATCCAAGCATGGGTGGAGTAGAGTTGAAGGCACTGATTAAGAGTGACTTGAAAATAAATGTATCTGCTAGTATGGCCACAAGGGCTTTGAGGTCTATACACAAGAAAACACAAACAGATTTTAAAGATCAGTTCAAGAAAGTAAGGAATTATGCAGAGGAATGTTTGAGGTCCATTCCAGATTCAACTGTGGTGATTCACACAACCAGAGTTGTCCCAGAAGCTCCATCTGTTTTCCAACGCATTTACATGTGTCTTGGCCCAGTCAAACGAGGTTTTCTACAAGGTTGTAGGAAGGTAATAGGGTTGGATGGTTGCTTTTTGAAAGGACAACTCAAGGGTGAGATATTAACTGCAGTTGGGAGGGATGCGAACAATCAGATGTTCCCCATAGCTTGGGCTGTTGTTGAGATTGAGAACAACTCCTCATGGACATGGTTCTTAGACCTATTGAAGAATGACTTGCAGATTACTAGGCCAGACTTATGGACTCTCATTAGTGATCAACAAAAGGTATACCAAATCTGTATTACATCAACAACAACTGTAAATACATATATAGTACTTTATAACTTCAGACTGTAAACCACTACTTTATAACTATATATATAAGTAATTTCCATTAAATATTACTTAAAAACTGTAGATAGTATACATATTTATGCATATGAATACTAGGAGATAAGGTACCACCTAAATATGTATACTACCAGACAGTAGTATACATTGGTCTGAAGTTATACTAGCATATGTACAGATATTTGACTATAACTAAACCACTACTTTATAACTTTATAGGTAGATAAGTAATTTCCATACACCATTTATACATTATGACTTCAGACCATACACCATAACTTCAGACCATATAGAGTAAAAAAAAAAAATTCAGACCATATAACTGTATAACATGACAACAACATACAACATACAACATACATTAGAACAAGTATATAACTGAAAACCATATATATGGACTACAGCATACATAACAACAACTTTCTGGATAATTAATTACCATTAATGTAATTAATGTAGGGTCTATGTAATGTCATTGCTAATATCTTCCCTGAGGCTGAGCATAGGAACTGTGCTAGGCACATACATGCGAATTGGAGTAAATCACATAGGGGGATGGTGTTCCGGAGATTGTTTTGGAAGTGTGCTAAGTCCACTGTGAGGCTCAGCTGGTTTGAATGATGAATCTAGAGTTGTTGACAATGGAAGAGGTGGAAAGGGAAGAGGGGGGAGGGGTAAAGGAAGAGGGGGAGGACAGAGGGAAAGAACACATAGAGGTTTTGGGGTATACTTTGATGCAAGCACGGGTGAAACCTTGGTGGATGTAAGTTCATAATACAGAGTTTGTAAAGTTTAGAAAGAAGTTTTAAATTTATAATAGCTGACTTTGTTGTTTACCTATTTGCAGCCTGGACAACCAAGTGAAAGAATTGTTGGTCGATGTCCATGAAGTGGTAGAGAAGAGCTGAGATGTTGAAGTTTTTGTGTGGATGCGTGTGAAGATGATAAGGCTGGTGTATTTTGGCTTGAAGGCTCTCATGATTGATGGATAGATGTAGCCCATGTGCTGTTGTCCTTTTTTCTGCCCTTTAAAGAGGGTTGTTGTGGCTTTTAAATGTGCCTTTTTTGCTTTTTTGTTGTATTTCGGATGTAAGGCAGAATCAAACTTTGGGGGGCCATTTACAGTTGGCTTTATTTCCTTCCATGATGTAATGTATTTGGATGCTTTATTGGGCTTTATATGACTCATATTAAAAGTGCTGTGCTGTATTGTTATTTGTGTTGTAGACAGCTTATTATATACTTAATTTCAGAACACTTATGGCATCTTTGATGGATCAATGTTAGCCTATAATGTCAGCACATTTATGTGCTACTTAATGTTAATTATCAGCAATGTTAACAAAATTTCAGCCTGTTATGAATGGATTCATGTGGTACTTAATGTTACTTGGCAGCAATGTTAATCTAAGTTAAACCTTACTGCACATATCATCTGTCAAAAAAGGCAGCTTCATCCATAATCTATCAACAACCTTAATTGTACAAAGCTATATTAACCTGTATACATGTAAACAACATATATGTGCAGTAAGGTTTTCCAAACCTATTATTCATCCTTCATCCAGTACTCCCACTTTATTATACATGGATTAATCTTAAACTATATGCATCCAAAGAGTACTGATAAACAAAGACATCCAGTACTGATAAACCTTTATATAACCTTCATCATAAAGAAAAAGTACTGATAACAATAACATCCAAGGAGTACTGATAACAATAACATCGAAGGAGTACTGATAAACAGAGGCATCCAGTACATGTCAAGCATTCATAAACAACACACCTACTTAACCATTGATTACACATCGAGTACTAACATGTACTACACAAGCCACCTACCCTTTTCACTACATACTACTCAGCTTACAATACAACATTCCCAGTAAACCAATTACAACAACCAAACCAGATCCAAACAACTTCCTATACATCTTGGAATCCTTCTCTGCAGCTTGAACTACCCTTCGCACACCATTGAGCTGGCCTTGCATAGCAGTTAATTGTTCACCAACTCTAGATACCATGACTTTCAAATCTTCAGTGTTTTCATTCATCCCTGCAACGTTAGGAACCCCCCTCGTGTCCATTGAGTCCGCCCAGGAAAAAAATCCGCACCCATGAACCTGTTCAATGCTAACCTATATTATGATTTGCATCTTTAACACCAAAATAAAGCAATTATAACATGGGATTCCTTATAACATTTACCTTCCATTTTTGACACCCATAGAACTTACTCCCACTCTGTCGCGATACACAAAGGGGAGCTTTCAATCCACAGAAGCAAAACACAGCCGGGTCGTAATCAAGGGTGAAGTTCCGTCCTCTTCTCGCAGTGGAAGTCGATGAGGATGAAGTTGCCATTTCCGTTCGAGCTCACTGATCTCACTGCACAACTGGGAGGAAGAGAAGTTAAGAAATAAATGGCCTAGGGTTCTTTATCAGATAAATCGCAGATGAGGAGAGTCGTGATGACGAGGACAGAGGTTTTAAATTTTTTTTTTTTAAAAAATTGATTTTTCCCGGTTAAGTATGCCACGTTAGAAGCCACGTCACCCGGTAACTGGCTAACCGGCTGGCGACTGCCTAAAAAACGTTTTTGACCGTTATTTTGAAATATGTGAACCCAATTGACCGAAAAAATTGTACATGGACTCAATTGACTTTCCGCCCAGAGTAGGTGGACTTAATTGACTGTTTTCTCTTTTAAAAATGTGAGAATGACGTGATAACAAAGAAGACATAGAAATAGTTTATTCAAACAGTACCCATGAACGATGTAGAATTAGTGGTACTATTGTATATTATTAGTGGTACTATGGTATATTATGCTTAAAATATGTATTACGTATTTACGTTTCTATGACAAAAGGGTATGATTGTTTAGATAATAATTAAATAAGGCAATTTGAGTCTATTTTGAGAAATAATTTTCATTGGTATATACTTCTTCCGTTCTTTAATATTAGTCCTCATAGGCTTTGGTACGGGTTTTAAGAAGAAAATAGTAAGGGTAGTGTAAAAGGTGTAATGAGTAGTGGGTAAATGAAAAAGTAGTAAAGAGAAAGGGGTAATGGTAATAAAAGTTGGGGTATAAAGGTATATTTAGAGTAAAAAATTTCCTTAAATGGAAAGGAGGACAGATAAAAAAAACGTCCCAAAAAGGAAAGAAGGACTAATAAAAAAGAACTGAGGTAGTAATATAATAGTGTTAATGTTGATAACTGTGATTTTATAAATGTAATGTTTTAATATTTATTGATTAAATTATCATTTAAGATTATTAATTATATTATTTTATAAAATAGAAATGTGAACATTTATACGAAACGTCCAAAAAGAAAAGTTAGAACCTTTCTATGAGATGGATGTAGCAGAATGTGTGGTAACAAATTAAAGTTTGAATAATATTTTGTACATTCTTTAACATATAAATAAAAAGGATCACATTATGTAAGAAGACCCTAGGTAGGATCCGACCTATCAAATGTAGGGTGTAAGAAGTTTACATAATGTAAATTGCATAAATAGTTTACATCATTCCAACAATATCATGCAAAATATTACTCCTTTGGTCCCATTGAAAGGTGACGTGAGTAAATGACATGATTTTTTAGACAAGTGATTAAATAAATTAATTTGGGTAAAAATGAGGAAAAAGAAAATTAAGAAAAAGTAAACATATAACTAAAGAAGATAAGTTGGGGAGGATAAATTGAGTAAAAGTATAATGAGTATGAAAGAGAAGTTTGAGTAAAAGTATAATTTGAATAAATTATTTATTAAGAAAAGCGGGAACCTTTCAACGGGATGAAAAGTGTATATGTGAGGTAGCGTAACATATTTTACATGTTTTTATAAATCAATAGAATGACACTATTTTATGTAACTTAACAATAAATCAGACACCTAACATATCAATATTTATTTATTTTACACGCAAAATTATTGTTGATTGAAAAGTTTTAATGTATAAATTAACAAATGAGACTCCCTGTGCATCAAGCCACCTATAGTATTATTTCATACAAAGACCTTTGTTTGCTTTGCGTTCTTAGTGGTGTTTGCTTTTTTTAGTCTTCCATTATACTTATTATTTAATTATTATGTACTTAGTACAATACAACAATTGTCATTGTTTAATGGCTACTATAAAGTCGGCTAGTTTAGCAACGCGTGATGCATGTCCGTGTACATGCCCAATGACATGCAGTCATATATTGCTTTATCAGGTTAGGTTGAGTGAGTGCATAAATAATTCGAATAAATTATTTGTATACATAATTTTTTAATAATTGATAAACAAACTATAAGATGAAAATGTTTGTAGCTTAGATTGTATAGGGTAAATAAAGCAATCAAAATGACTATAATAACCATAATAGTAGGATAAGATTCATATTAACTAGTAACAACAACAAAAATGTGTTGTTAGGAGAAATAGTTAAATATCTTTTGGATTGTAGTGCTTGAATTGGTGAAAAGTAAGAGTTTGAGGAAAGCAACTTTATTAATAAAAGTAGTGAAAAAAGTCAAAGTAATCAAGTTGTTTTCTTGCACGGCAAATTAATAGGTGAGTCCTCTGATCCTGAATGCGGGGGCTTCATATTTGATGAAGGCCATGTGGGGTTGGTGGATCAATGTTAGAAGCAACGATGTACTGAGATGTATCATGTAGGGATGTTATTGTGTAGGAGGGGCTTGACTTGAAGTGAGGATTTCTTCAAAAAAGCCTTCTCAGGAATCGGAGTTCAACACGAAGCTAAGTTGCACTGAAGATCAAAACAAAAGAGGAGCAACTCAACAAATCTTATCTACGCTCTCCTCTATATTGCTGAATCAACACAAAGACAAAGATATCCGCGTTGCAATGCTGATTGAACACGATTGAAAACCAAGAGGGAGATTGTTGAAACTTTTTATGGTGTCCAATCTTGATAAATATCTTTGTATTTGTGAAAGTATTAGTTTATATGCGTAATATGGGCCACAAATGTATTTCAGCCCATTAGCGCCTTTGTGATGCATAAGTTAGACATACTTATCTATAAAAAGAAGGCCAACTTACGTAAACCCCAAACATCTATGAAATAGACTAGGCATTCACACACATTCATGCTAGAGAGAGAAGTGAGAAAAGTTGTTTCATACATGAGCTGTAGTTCGAAATCTTTTTGGTATTGAATCAAATTATATTTTCTTCTCTACTTTATCCTATTTTGTTATTTTGATTATTGAATACAGGGACAAACAGTTTATATAATAGTAAATACACATAATATATATCAGATAGTAAATACATATAAGATTAGTAAATTAGACTTAAATAAATAAAATCCGACATGGCCTAACTTCATATTACTGTCCAGTGAAAATGCAATAAACCTTCTATCATCGACTTAGAAATTGTTTTGTCCGTCTTAATCTTATTACTTATTCTTAATCTATTCATAACAAACCGGACTATAAAATTTCAGATTAAAAGATTCAAACCATATCAGAAAAAGTCACATCCAATACTCCGGTAGAAGAATTCATATCAACAATTCAACATCCACACCAAATCAGATTAGAAATACTACTATAATATTGAGATCCGGTGAAGGGAAGTTTCAACTCTACGTGAATACATCCATGACCTTCAATATGACACAATGAATTTGGTCGTTTGGGGCACTCACGTAAATCACTCCATTAATATCCCCTTTGCAACGACCTACCTTAAGCCCCTAACCGAACACAGTCGTTTAGGGTGTGATTGGGATTTTGAGGGTGAGTGAAGGGGGAGGCTTTGAAGGAGAGTAGAGAGAAGAGAAGGGGAAGGAGATGGGAAAGGATTCCCTTCTCTTGTTTGAAGTTACAAATTTGAGGGTTTTGGAGGAAATGTAATTCAAATGACATATGTACCCCTTTATCATTGTATGAATATAATAGTGCATTGGATGTTATATTTTTTATTGTTTAGATTAGTAGTTGTTTTGATATATTTTCTTGAAAAATGCTTCAATATTTACTTATACAAATCATATAAAGTGCCTGTTTGGTAATATCAAATTCAAAATAAAAATTTATGAAAATAACAAAATCGGTTTATTATTATACAATTCAGCGCACAAAATAAAAAATTACGTATTTTAGACATGTGGCAATGCTGAAGTAATGGAACTGTACACTCCTGGCAATTTTGGACAGGTGTATCTTGCTGATGACGAGCCTCTGAAAATCG